AGCAGGTTTCGGCATATGTCATGGCTGTTGATCTGGATCTAGCCATTGTGCAGAACGTCGTCTGTTGTCGTATAGAATCCATTTTTCATCACATGTGACAATGCGATCCAAAAACGGATCATTTTGGTTCCGAATCAGTAACGAATTGCATATTTCGCAACGACAAAACTTCTGCCGGTCGGTCAATTCGTGCGATACCCACTTATCTAACTTCTTTTTTTTTACCAATTGAAGTTTATAGGGATATTTTACATGTACCTTCAAGAGTAGAGTTTCCTTTGTTAAGGAAAGTGGCGTGAAATTGTCATGGCACTTACGTCAAATTTTTGGGCAAGTTCTCTAACCGTTGTTCCAGGATTTTCTTCAATAGCGAGTTTCAAATGGTCATTGTTAATGCTCATCTCTGGCCTTCCACGATGTTCATTTTCAAGGCTTTCATCTCCGGCTTCAAATTTCTGATACCATCGACGAACTGTACGTTCATTTACTGCATCATTGCCAAATGCAGCGTTGCATGCAGTTCCACTCGTATAAGAAAAGGACGCGAAAATCACGAGCATTTATAATGGAAATCAAACAGTAAATTTCTTAGGTTAGATGCACATGCAAAACAAGTGAAGATTGAATTTAACAAAGGAAACTCTACTCTTGAAGGTACATGTAAAATATTCCTAGAAACTTTAGTATTTTTGGTCATAACAAAATTTAAAGTACCGATAAACCAAAATCGAACACTTCATATCTTACAATCTAATATGTGAAGGGTTCCATTGCGCTCGGTAATTTCCTCACCGAGTTACATCAAAGAATAGGAACTTTGTAATAACAATATTTGTAAACATATAAAAAAGTCCATAAATCTATGGAAATTCGAATAGCATAAAATCAGCTGTCATTAAAAGTGGAAAGTTACATATCGATCAGTAAATCCCTCGCCAAGTTACATCATATAATAGGAATTTTGCGATAACAATAGTTATGAACAATAAAGAAATTCATAAATTTTTACAATTGTGATCATTGCGAAAACCTCTCCGACAGCAAAATGTAAAGGGTGTCATCGATTTCATCGATTTTAGGCCAAACATATGTGAAATAGTACGCTTTTTTGCGATAAAAAGTGATAGAAAGTGGTAAAAAATAAAACAAGGACAATTGTTTTGTTATGGGCCAAATGGCAAATGCTCTTACAGATGCAAGAGGTTTCATTCCGATTGCTCAAGCTATCTCGGCGTAATCGGTGAGCATACCGTTAAAAAAAAAAAAGCCGAATTGAGTAACCTCTTTCTTTTCGAAGTCGGTTAAAAACAATTTGTTGTCATGGTTATGTTTTATTAGATTCCAAGAACAAGATCATTTCTTTTTCTAGTGGAATAATATGATTTCGTTAACGAAGTGACATAACTCGTCAAAAAACAAATTGAACTAGGTATATGTTAATTTAAACCTTTAACAAGAGAATTCACGTTTATTAGGGAAAGAAAAGAGCTCTCTATTTATCAATTTTAGTGAAAATATTTATAGATATACATAAAGAAACGTTTACTTTACTTAAACGTTAAATTATCCTCTTTGAAACGAATGATTTTTAGCTCTGTCGTTTCCTTATATTTTTGACAGGAACAGAGAGATCAAGGTCACTCGAAGATTAACATGTATAAGCTTATGATATTCTTATAAGCTACATAGATTATTCCATCACTGAAAACACATTAATCCATTTTTTAATAAATTTGAAAATATTATACAATAAGTATTTGATTATTAGAATATTTTCCCTTTTTGAAAGGAACGATTTTTTTTCTCGCGTTTCGAAAAGAAGCAACGATATCGCTGGTGCTCGTAAAAAAACACTTCGTATACGTGGATTATAACGCTTTGAAGATACGAATACCGCGTGGCTATTTACTCGGCGACAAACTAATAACTTTCCAGTATCAAGTTGGGAGTTCTTCAAACCTAAATGAAATGAATTTCAATCGGTGTATTTTAATCTTTAACGTTCAAACTCGAAATATTTTAAGTGGCTTAACTGACAGTACATATTTCGACATAGAAATAATGTTTGAGTGGCTCTTCACGCTTCGGGTGGTGCTTAACGGGTTATTCATTCGAAAGTGTACGAGAAATGCACAACTTTTATTAATTTTCTTTTATACTGGCTCTATGTAACTCTTGTCTTATGTATTGGTTTTTTAAATACTTTGTTAACGTTTTATGATAACCGTCTTTTCGATATTTTGTGTAATTATTTATACAAGCATTAGTAAGATTTATATTATATTATAATAAGCACTATATTACGTTACTTATGTAACATTACAATTTTACAATTATTGTAAAATTACAATTGTGCTTGTTTAGTATATTTTTTGTTTTTTAAAGATTACTCTAATTGGAAAGGGGATTTTTTTATTTTTGTTATGAAATTTGTTGCTGCTGAAATACAGGAAAATTTCTTTTTTTTTTTTTTTTACAGATTTTGACAATACGCTATCATCTTAATTCGTATAATACCATTAGTAGTATCACGCGAAGCGTCACTTACACTTGTTAAATCGATTTGAGGCTTTAGCTAGGTTAAAAGGCCCTTTGTGTCACTTTAGCTCTTAATTAAGCGACACGTAACTGCGAGAATGTACGTACCACAAAAGAAATGTAATTTCAGAAATGAAAGAAGTTTTATTAAGAAATGTTTTCTTTTTTTTTTTAAATTTCTTATTTGAAAATTAGCTAGATGAAATCATAAAATAGTAATGGGTCTAGAAACTAGCTATATTCTAGTTTCATTATTATTCTTTTAATTGTTTTATTGTTAATTGTTTTATTTTATAATCATCAATAATTTTGCTCAAATTGTTTCTCTGTTAATGAAAAAACATGATCCATATACAAGGTGTATCGCCTAACTCTTCTATCTTAAATATCGCGTGAGTTTTTTGCAATAGAAAAAAAATTGTCAGAGGAAAACATTGTTCAGTTTGGAGAAAGACATAGTATGATAGAAAAAAGTATCTTAAGGTCATACTTTCCGTGATTTTAAGGTTATTATCGTTTTTTGTTTTTTTTTTTTAAATGACATGGGATATTTTATTATTATAATGCTGTAGCTGACAAAAAGATAAATTCAAACATGTATAATATATCAACCTTCAAATGACTGTGTACGTTATATTAAAATTTTGCAAGAATAATTCCTCACAAAGTCATCTGAAAACCAACACGTTATACATGTTTGAATTTGAAATGAAAATATTCCATCCTATGTATACAAACGTGAATGACCTTGATATTTTGTGAAATATGACATTGAGATAATTTTGTCGTCTATCATAGTACGTCCCCCTCCAAATCAAACAATGTTTTCCGCTGACATTTTTTTCTATCGCAAAAATATATATAACAATATATTATATATAATAAATAAAAAACACCCGGGATGTTTAAGATGGAAGAGGTAGGTGGAATACCGTGTATAATAGTACAATTTCCGAATTAATTTGAAATGAAAAGTTTGTATTTCATCATTGTCAAACACAATCAGCTAAGTAAACAACAAGATAGACTGAACGTGTTGTATCGTTCGAATTTTCATCTCTTTTCAACCTATTGTGGGTAATACTCATCAATATTGTTTACAGTGCTAGTAAATATAGACAAACTGGACCACATAAAGCGTTTCAAGTTACTTTCTCAGGAATTGTCAGGCATAGCAAGAAAAATCGTTTTTCAGTATTTTCTGACTCACTTTGGCGTTTCTATGCCACACATGTGTATTGCTTGGCAAATGGCTATTCCTCCAGAGAATAGAACAGGACGGACTATATTTTTTAAAATGGAATAGAACAAAAAGATTGTCCTCTTTCGGTAATGTATTTTTTTTGGACAAAAATAATTCTTTCACGTATAATTTTATATCGATACGAATAATACTGACATTTTCAAAAGGAAAGGTAAACAAATTATTTCTGAATTAATAAAATGACAATTTCCGAAGAAAAGGTTGGTCTCATAAATCAAAGTCTCTATTAATTATTTATTATTAGATGCATCTGCTGTATCTAAAGAAATTACTTGAAAAACTAATCTTCTAACAAACAAAATTCATTCAGTCCCAATAAAGCCACCTAATAAACTTTTCCAATAATTTTTCAAACTTCTGAATAATATACGATTATTTCTCAACATCAAAAACGAAATCTTCAAATTTAGATACATAATAAGAAAATACAATTGTGAATAAATTGTAATTAAATTATAAACACAGATGTTGTTGTTCGTAACGCTTAACCAGAAACAGTTAAGCGCTTTGAATTTTTTCCTTATCGAAAATGTTGTCCGAGGCTTCGTTGAGGAGATATTAACGAAAAACACTGACCAATCAGAGCGCGCGTATACCGTTGAAGCGACCGGGTGGGCGTGGCTACGCGCTAGACGGCCGCGCTCATACGCTACCGCGAGCCCTCCATCGGCATACTCGCGCTCTGATTGGTCAGTGTTTTCCGTTAATATCTCCTCAACGAAGCCTCGGACAACATTTTCGCTAAGGAAAAAGTTGTTTCAAATCACCTCCCGGACTACCCCTTCCAAGGTGTTACAACATTTTTGGGATACCCTGTATATGTATACATCCAAATTAAATCTACACTGTTAAATTTTCTTCTTTGAACGTCCCTTCATATGTAAAAAAAGTTTCAACACCAAAAATTAATTATATCTGGAAATTATATGCATTAGAAAAATACATTAGCTGGACCAGACTCCCCTCTTAAGTTTTTTTTAATTCCAATATACAAAAATACATAAAAGAGATAAATAAATGACAACTTCAATACATAGGAAATACATTAGAAAGAGGAACCAGTAAAAGTCACGTTTATCACTGGCCGTTCTATCCACAATCACCATGCGAATACGCAGATTGTTGAGCATAAATAGGTTAAGTGAAATCGATGGTTCGGCGAGACAAACTATATACAAAAACAAGATGAAACACTTGCCTGCGGTGAGTCCATGAGCAGAGGTGCTGTTAGGTCGGCCTCCTCGTCAGTTTCTGGAAAAATCGGGCTGTCGTTTAGTACTGTAGTCAACATGTTCACCGTGGAGACTGTCACCAACAGGAGAAACGCTGTCTCGACCAGGGAACACTTGGTCATCGGCTGACAGTTTAGTATGCTCGATCCAAGGGGTAATAAAATCGCAGCTCTCGCACAATCGACCATCGCTTGGTGGAACAATAATCCTTGCGACCACCTGAAAACACAATTCAATATCGCATTACATTCAAATTATCCACACGACGCACGATCACACATGACTAGACTGCGGATTTTTATGCATTTATACGGAATTTTAATGTGCAAGAAACTACAAAATGCACACAGTATGTAAGAATATACAAATCTTAACAAAAACAGTTGGTAAGTTAGGTCGGGTTATACATACGAACACGAAATATACATATAGTATTCCACACTGGTGTAACCGCAGGATGCAGATAATTAATTATTATAAACACTTGAACGAACTACGAAATAGCAACAATAAAATTATCATTCAATCCTTAGGAACCTCTTTCATAACCAAAGTGTTACAGAATTAATTGATTATTTTATTAGAAATCAGAAATTACTTTGCAAATTACATTCTTTAATAAATTAAGAATTTCTTTCTAAAAATCAACGTTTACTTCAGAAGGTGTCGAATGACCCTTTATGGTGAGATAGGTACAAAAAAGCCGGTACGTTTAATGTAAAATAACGCATAAATAAAGAACATAAGATTAAATTAATTTTTAACTGATTTCGAAAAGGAAGAGGTTACTCGATTCGACATGTGTATATATATATATTTTTTATGTATGTTTACACCTAATAATCTGTTAAAAGAACAACAAAATCCAAATTTTGTTGGGCATATATAAACGAATATATCTCTGATGTATTTCGTATACTTTGTATATAGATATACTGAAACTTGTATGTATATCGATTTATTGCAATGGAAATCACTTTGAAAACTTCGAAGGTTGGTAATTTACCCTATAAAAACGACTAATACATATTTCGTTCTTCAACTACACAGTTACAAATAATTGAATGTAAAGGCTCAGAGTTAATTTCTGCACCTAATACGTTAAGTTTAAAAAAATGTCTAATTAACTTTTTCATTTTTATTGGGCTGTCTGGAAAGTCGATGCCGATTTTTAGTAGGCGGTACAGGTCTGAATATATCGGAATGGCTGAAAACAAATAATATGTGTACATTCCTTAACAGGTGGAAAGGTTGTGGAACAAAATGGTACATATATAATTCAATAAATATAAATCACAATTTTTCTTAAAAATAGGCATGAACTTTCCGGACAACCCAATAGAAATTCCCAAAGAATATTTCCGCTCTTAAAACAAAGCCAAATTACAGACTCTGTAAATTATCGTTTATCTTTCATTCTTTATTCAAAGTTGTTTGTCAAGTTGGGAATTTTAGCCACCTCTGGCTACGAACTAATATAGTGAAACTCTTGTTGGTATTACCTGCGTAACTGTCGTTTAGCCAAGATGAGAGCCATAAGGACAAAGTTCGCCCCCATGCCGAGGGCCCCCAGGCTGAATATGAGTGTTGCCTCTGTCGCACCACCTGGGTGACATTGAAAGACCTTCGTTGCGTTTGACGACACGTTACCCGAAGCGCCGATCCCAAACCTCAGATTGGCTCCTATCATCGCCCCCGATTCACCTATTTGACAAATTATTTCCTTTGGTTATTTTCATCCGCGACAAGTTTTAATCCTCTATTCCAAACATTTTATCTTATTTTTCTACGAAGAAATTATTTCTTACTTACAGTGGGTGTAGAAAGTATTCGTACATCGATCAATTTTCCAAAAAACTTTTGTGCGAAATTGTAGTTCATTAACTCCTTTTTTTATAATCAATGATATTCTACATATTCTCCGAAATCTCTAGAATACAGTCCAAACAATAATTACTAGTTTATATAATTTGCGAAATTAACAAGAAAATACGAAAAATTGGTAGAAATATAGAAGCAATAAGTATTCGCACGGTTCTTATGACGAACAACGTACAGTAGAATTTGTAACATAAGGACATCAGTTTATTGCTTCGTGAGAATTAGAAAACATTAAATTTTCAGTAAAAGAGACTTAAAAAATGCTCTAATAAAGAAATGAAAGAAGATCCCACCACGGGTAACATCGACATTTATGATAGTTAATTTAATGCCTAGAAGAGTTGCAGTAATTATAAAATCAAAAAGAAATCCCACGAAGTATTAATTATTTATGAATTAATGTAAATTTCGTTTTTTTTTAAAATGAAATTTTAAAAATTTAACACTTGTACGAATACTTATTGCTTCTATATTTCTATCGATTTATTGTTTTTTTTTGTTGATTTCTCACTTATACAAAATACCTTTTCGTACTGTATCTATTCTAGAGATTTCCAAGAATATGTAGAATATCATTGTTTATAAAAAAAAGTTAATAAATTACAAATCACATAGCTTTTTTGGAAATTGATCGATGTATGAATACTTTCTACACCCGCTGTATACAGAATAAACATTGGCCTGCCTGATTATCTCTTTTATTTAGAATTGTACGAAAGACATTCCTCAAAATTTTTGATAGTAGTTTCCTATTCTAAGGCACACATGAGATTTTAGATCGCAAGGAGAAATATAGATGATATTCCCTCGTCTAGGATGCAGAGTGGCTATGATTAAACGTTGCAAATAATTGAAACGTTCAGTTCAATTATGGAATTTGCTGATATACTTGGCAAAGGAAGAAATTTTCATTTTTCAACAATTAAAATATTAAGGAGGCAAGGAAGCCAATTTTTATTATTTTCCACTTGCAAATAATTGAAACGTTCAGTTCAATTATGGAATTTGCTGATATGCCTGGCAGGTTAGATACCTTTCCGATACGTTTGATTAAATTTTTCGATTCACAAGAACGTTCGCGTGAAAAGATTGGAAGACTCGCGTGCTCATGCATAAAAGAAGATTCTCGTGCATGGACTGTACACCTATCGCGGATTTTCCACCTTCGATCTTTCTTTACGGGCCTATTTTCCGATGCACTGGCTATGCCTTTTATAACCCAGGCGAAGACATGAAAATTCCCTCGGTCCTCTTGAACCGTGCTTCCGTATTTCTTTTATACGTAGACAACTATGATCTAGGTCTTGGCATGGTGGTACTTCTTTTTCTCATGAAAAAAGGTACAATGTTGCTTTTAGCAGTATGAAGGCGTATCTCTTGTATGATTTAATATAAAGCGTATATTTTGTTTGTGATAAGAATATAAGAAAACGTTTTTTCTTTTATATACAATACTTGATTGGTGCAAAATGGATATTAACACTTTACCCACCGCTTCCGGTTCGACATGTGATTAAATTTAATAATATTTTCTTATTTTCATAGCATTAGTATTGTATAGGGTGTCTATGTATAAGTTCGGACATACACAGGGTGTCAATTCTTCAACAAATTTCCAACAAAAACTTACTCTTAGACATTTTCTTTGTGTCGCTTTATTCTCGAGAATTTTCACTTTTAATATTTTGTCTGCCTTTTCGACTTGACAGTCTTTAAACGGCCATAACTCCACCAAATTACAGTGCAAACTTAAAAGTAAGTATACCGTTCGAAAGAGCGTTACATTTCCCATCTCCATGATGCCAAACCAAAATGTACTACGTAGATTTAACAAGTGAAAAATTAGGTCAAACTTTACATTGTGCAAATTTAATAAAATTTGACTTTTTCTGTATTCGTTTTTCGGTTTCAAAGCATAGTCGTTTGGCAAGCATTCTTCGGGAGAAACTTCCTCGAAGTCTCAGCTTTTGAATGGTATTGTCAAAAAAAATTGTACGGTGGTATTTTAGGGAGAAAATGACAATTAAATGCAGAAAAGCGTTCAAAATGCCCGTCTCCTAAAACAAAACTTATCAGTTCCCCTGCGCTGAAAGCATTGATTTTTTGCTTTGTGAAATCGATCGTGTTCCAATTTCCATATCATTTATCGGTACACCGAGGTTGATTTTGATTAAATAGTCTCTAAATACGATAATTCTATGGATACATGTTCAAAAACAATTATTATTCACCTCGTACTCAGGCTTTACACACGGCTGGGAGAGGCTTGAGGTGTCAAATAATCGGTTCTTTCCTAATTGGGGAGGCTCGGGAGTGTCACTAAAAAGTACATCAAACCCGATGTCAAGTTAATTTTAAAGTAACAAGTCGATTTTTGTTGAAAAATATCTATTTTACTAATATTCTTGGAAATCTCTAGAATAGATACAGTACGAAAAGATTAGGTATTTTGTATAAGTGAGAAATCAACAAGAAAAAACAATAAATCGATAGAAATATAGAAGCAATAAGTATTCGTACAAGTGTTAAATTTTTAAAATTTCATTTTAAAAAAAAACGAAATTTACATTAATTTATAAATAATTAATACTTCGTGGGATTTCCTTTTGATTTTATAATTACTGCAACTCTTTTAGGCATTAAATTAACTATCATAAATGTCGATGTTACTCGGGGTGGGATCTTCTTTCATTCCTTTATTAGAGCATTTTTTAAGTCTCTTTTACTGGAAATTTAATGTTTTCTTATTCTCACGAAGCAATAAACTGATGTCCTTATGTTACAAATTCTACTGTAAATTGTTCGTCATAAGAACCGTGCGAATACTTATTGCTTCTATATTTCTACCAATTTTTCGTATTTTCTTGTTAATTTCGCAAATTATATAAACTAGTAATTGTTGTTTGGACTGTATTCTAGAGATTTCGGAGAATATGTAGAATATCATTGATTATAAAAAAAGGAGTTAATGAACTACAATTTCGCACAAAAGTTTTTTGGAAAATTGATCGATGTACGAATACATTCTACACCCATTGTACATCCAAGTTTCGTTCCTAATTACTTCCTCCTACCTATGTGATTAAAAAAGCTACTTAGTAAGAAAGCAATTGAAGAAACAAAATGTGATGGTTAATACTGAAACGGTTGGAGTAAATGGTAAAGGAAGACTGCCAAAGATCTTCCAAAATTGCAAATCACCAACTGTTTAAACCAGGCATTACTGCATTCAGCTGTCATTTGCCTCGAGGAATAGCGCACTTTTTGTTTAGCAAGTGATTCAACGATGATGACATCAAATGTCGATATGCGTAGTTTTTGCCCTACAAAGAACCAGCATGGCGTTGCAGACGTATGCAATTGCCTTCAGACCAATGGTAGACAACCATAGATCATCTCGCCTGAAAGTATGTTTTAGTATACTTATCGCTTAATACAGTTAAATGAAGAGTTTAAAATGCGCATTCTTTTGTTGAGTACGCTATTAACTCTCAGTCAGTGAAATACTTTTTTAAAAACGCTGAAAGTTGATGCTGACATTATTTTTTTTATTTCTTTTACTTGTTTCACTTGCTTCATTTGTTCCATTTATTTTATTTATTTATTCAACAGGTTACACTTAGTAATAAATAAAATAAATACTCTCTAGAGTACTAAACACTAATACTAATCTAAAATTAAGTCTATATGGTACTGATTATTTTAGAATTCCAGTTGCGTCTACATCAAAATCTTATTTATAATAATAATGCTAATAATCAAAGCAGAATTTTGGTTTATTACGTCTCTAAATGTATAATAAAAATTTTGATTATTATATATAATTGTACATATAGAAAATCAATATTGTTTACAATTACAGTCCCATTTATCATCGAGAATAAAACGTTAGTCTCCACGCGACAGTACTAACTACGAACTTGAGATTGCACTACTCATGGTTGTTTGGTTTGCGCTTGGGAGAAGTTGTAGAACTTTCTGTGGTAATTTATTCAATCTTCCGTAGAGAATTGCTTATGGGATATAAACACAATTAGAAACGAAAATGTAGTGTGTTACTCGAGCATTCTCTTTAATTGTTTCGGTTTAACGTCTGGGCGCTCTTCAGCGAAATATTGCTAATCTGACATTCGTAATGTCTGTACGAAGTTTGTTTATAACTTCTACCATTTTTGTCTGGATGGGATGAAAGTTTGTTTTGTTGCTTTTAATGTTCCGATGAGAAGCATAGACATAATGTATCTATATCTACAGGGTGTTCAAAAAAAAGCATTCAATATTTATATGGTGTATAGGGCACATTGTACCGAGTAAAAAAGCTTTAGTAAACATAGGTCCAAAGGTCAACCGTTTCTGAGATATAAACATTTTTGTTTGGTAGTATCATGATTGACTTACTTGCTTCCATCGCATGCGATGTTTATGTCAGTGTTTATAAATTGCGTTCCGAATGTTTCTATTCAAGAACCAGTTGCATGGCCTCCTCGATTACCCGATTTAAATCCTTTGGACTTCTTTTTATGGGGATATTTAAAAAGCCAAGTGTATTCCACGCCGATAAATGACTTAGAAGAACTACGTAACCGAATCCACCATGCTTGTCAAATAATTCGACAGAAATGTGGGATTTCCGAGAGAGTTCGCGACTCTGTAAGAAGAAGATGCCAAGCGTGTACAGAAATGAGCGGTGGACACGTGGAAAATCTTCTATAAATATCGAAAACCCAGTAGTAAGTCAATCATGATACTAGCAAACAAAAATGTTTATATCTCAGAAACGGTTGACCTTTGGACCTATGTTTACTAAAGCTTTTTTACTCAGTACAGTGTGCCCTATACGCCATATAAATATTGAATGCTTTTTTTTTAACACCCTGTATACCCTTCACTCTTCAGTGTAGTAAGGCTAAATTAGGCTCACGTTGGCGAGGAAGAATATTCTGAAGTAGAACAAAACGTGATACTTTCGTGAATTGTACCCATGGCCTCTTTATAGGTTACCTACCATTTCATAGCACTTTTATTGAAATCGGCGCCTGTCGCTATTGACGTCGATCCTACTTAAGTTTCCGAAAAGTAGAATGTTGGGGGTACGTGTTCCGACTTCGAACAGAACAAAACGAAGTTCTTGCGACAGGTAAGATCTGCGGTTTTGTCGCCAGTTTTCGTTTCTATCTGGTCAACACGTGCTCCGCACTTGGTCCGTTATTTTGGAAGAAAGTTCGGGAAGCGAAAAGTTTCTTAAGGAGTATTTTAAGGGAGACACTAACTAGGTCATCCGACGGAATTCTCACCGAAATGAACGCTTGTCGGTCTCACAGTTGTTATTTTAATAAAATCGCTCGAGGCAGGACTCTAGTTTGTTGTGTGACTGAATGACTCGTTTCAGGAGTTATGTATTTTGGAAAACAAATTATCATATGGATATTTGAATTTGGCATCGCTGGTAATGTTTAGCCCTCAAGGAATGTAGCTGTGTTTGATTGTAGCTACAGTACGGATTTAGGAATCTCCAAGTACCCTAGCTGTAAGGATAGTCAGTGGGCCTTAGTAGAGCTATGTGTACTTAGCACCCGACTTTTCAAAAATTAATTTTTTTTTATAGAAAACGATAGTATTTCGTTAGTACCTGATTGTACCTCCAATAGTTTTGTTTATACCTTCTGACGTACCTCGCGTGGGCGACCGGGAAAGCCGCTAATCGACACGCTCGGCTGCACAATTTCCACGGACGAATTTATTTGTGAGAATTGGGCGCCAGTGCCAAGTGCACGTGTCCGTTCCCTTCGTCCTTCCGGCTGCTCTACGGAGAGCGAAACTCAGGGGAGGTCGAAAGGGGAAATAAACTTTGGTCCGCGTACGTTTAATCGAATTTGTTTATTTAGTCGAAACCGACGCGGGGGAATTCCGCGGTACACACACCGTTGAGGAAAGGGTGTGGTGACTACGCGCTGAAAAGGATACGCGGCGCGGAATTTCCGATACAAAAGGAAGTATTCGGCGGAAAGAAAACGAATACGTTACCGGCGCGACTTAACGCTATAGGGGGCCTCGCAAACAAATAGTCCGCCCTAGTATTGAATACAATCGAAAAGATTATGCCGGGAATTAACGGTTTCGCGTTTCGAAGGGGCCCTCTCCTTCGAAACGCGGCGCGTTCTCAAACCGCGCAAGGTCACGCGGGAGATTCGCGAAACGGACGGAGGGAAGTCTAACGGAGTTCCCTCCAGTGGTGGTCCTGTCACGGATGAAAAGGGTGCTCCGGAGCACGCTCGCGGACACACACGGTCGATCCGCACTCTCGCATCCACGCACGCCACGAAGGGAAACCCAACCAGTAGGCCCTACTTGAATCTCCCAGGTCTCTGGATCCCAGATGTCCTGGCGGTCCTCTCCGGGGAATGGTGGCGGTGCTCCCCCCCACACACACGCGCGATAGTGGTACCAAGAAACAAAAGGGAACTCGCGGTTCTAACAAGTCGGGTGGCTCGCTAGCTCGGCACACATGCATCCCGGTTCGCAGGTAACCGTTAATTATTTTCGGAAATCGATTGCGCATCGATTGCCACGCTCTTTTCGCCGCCGGCTCGCGGCTCTGCCCACACAGGAGCTGTAGGGGCTCCTTACGGTGTGCCACCACCATGACATCTTTGGTTGATTTCCCCTCGTGGCAGCTCCGAGGGACGATGGCAGCGGTATTCTTCCCGAGGGTGGTCAGTCCTCTCGGTGGTGGCCACACCACGGTCCTGGGGTGGAGGACACCGCGACCGGCGACTTGTCGCGCTCGCGCGAAGACGCGGCTCTATCCGCGAAGGGGGTAAGGGGGTGCGACAAAGGGGGTCCCTATTGACCGCGGTCCACGCATCCCTCCACTCTCGCGGACCATCTCCGGACTGGGGTATCCGGCGGGAAGGAAGCGAGGCCCTTCCGGGGGTCAGGGTGCTTTTGTGACGGGCAGAAAAAGTCTGCCGCGTCACAACCTCCACCAATTAATAATTAAAAAAAATTCAAAAAATGGTCAGCACCTGACATTGAGATTTTTGAAATCGGTTTTTCCCGATTCTTTAGAATTGTTTGTACCCGTTTGTACCGCTTTTCGTTTCGTTTGTACCTCAATAGTTGAAAATTGACGAACTTCTCTCTTACATGAATAATAAACAATTGCTTGTAAAATTTAAACTATTGAGGTACAAACGAAACGAAAAGCGGTACAAACGGGTACAAACGATTCTAAAGAATCGGGAAAAACCGATTTCAAAAATCTCAATGTCGGGTGCTGACCATCTTTTGAATTTTTTTTAATTATTAATTGGTGGAGGTACAAACGAAACTATTGGAGGTACAATCAGGTACTAACGAAATACTATCGTTTTGTATAAAAAAAAATTAATTTTTGAAAAGTCGGGTGCCAAGTTCACATAGTTCCTCGGTAGACTACTGACCTTCAAATGACTGTGTACTGTGTAGATATTGATTTTATAAAAATAATTTCTTGTAAGATTCACTGAAGTGGGTGTAGAATGTATTCGTACACCAATCAATTTATAAAAACACTTTAGTGTGAAATTGTAGTTTTTTTTTTTTATAGTCAATGATATGTTACATATTATCGGCAATCTCTAAGATAGATATAGTCCAAACAATATTTACTAATTAATATAATTTGTGAAATTAATAAGAAAATACGAAAAGTGGGTAAAAGCATAGAAGCAATATACAATCTACAAATATGTAGACTGACATTGTTTATAAAAAAATAAGTTAATAAATTACAATTTTACACAGTTTTTTGGAAATTGATCGGTGTACAAATACTTCCTACACCCACTGTATTTTAATGTTTCATTTGTGAAATTTATTATATGAATTAATGTATAGTATAATATGGTACACAAAAATCCAGAGAGGAGCGCAGAGATTATGCGAACTCTACATTATATTATTATATGATTTCTATTATGATTACTATATAATTCCGCCTATTTCGGATATTCTTTATCCTTCATTGCAATTATACTTATTAATACTACAATGATGATACAAATATATAATTAATATATATTTTTAACACAAATTATTATAAATATTTAAATTCCGAAAGCTAGACATCTTCCTGAATAAATATTTAAAAAAGAAACAATAAATACTAAAAAATAATTTAAAGCGATTTACATATGTAGATATAATAAAATAATACGTTTCGAAGGTTACGTTGATTGATTAAAAGTGTCGCGTAACGAGTTTACGGGCAAGAGGAATTTCTTAAAACAACAAGCCAACCGGCCGAGTTGTAAAAAAATAAGAAAGCTTTTCCACAGTGTCGGGTTCTTGGGAACTTGAAGAGCGCTGCGGAAAAAGAAATTCAACGGACGCTTTTTACCGTGAAAGCGAAGAGAGGACAGCCCGGGAAGTGAAGGAATTCCGCGCAGGACAAAGCGAAACGCTTAAAATGCAACTTGTCCGACGAAATTCGGGCGGCGTTTAAAATTTTAAAATGGCTCGAGCCCCTCATGAATTAGCACACCAAAGTAGACAATGAACTTTCCACGACTCACCACGCCCTCCTTTCGACGTTCGTCCAACATTCGATTATAAGATTGTTATAAGAAATAAAGTTCACAGGAATCTAATCACTAGACTGCGGAAGTTTATGCAAATGCATATTTTTATAGGAAATAGTTAAAAAAATGGGACCTAAACAAAAATTTGTTTTGAAATTAGAGTACTATAAACATACATTTTTTATTTTTCATATTTTGCATATTTTGCATATTTATCTTTAAAAATATAATAATATATTGCATGTTGTTACCGTTTATTATGATTACACAGATACATAAGAATAGACAAAAATAATATATATACTTATAAAGAACACAATAATGGTGATTAAACATAAGTGTGCGTAGAAGCGCATTAGCCGAAAGTGAAACGAAACGTAAAAACGCATAGTGAGTATAGACGCATATGTATACGCAATACGCACGTGTAGATCGCTTACTGCTTAGTGGTGGGAAATACAAACTGCTTCACATATGTTATTTATCGTGCTTATGTGAAATATCTATCTCGACAAATTAGTTTCGTCTATCACCAAACATTCGTATTATAATTGTTTAGTATTTACACAAATACAGGCCATATGAAACCATATTTCTGTAACCTTGTGTTGCTAATCGACCGTTAGGTGTGACTGTTTGTATTTGGAATTCGAATACTTCTATTCAATTATCGCAGTTAATGTAATCTCTGTGAAAAAGTGAATATATTTAAGTGTTTCTTACTTCTCTAAAAATGTCAAAAGTTAGAAAAAGTAGAAAAGCATTAATGCTAAATTGGATAAAAAACGGTACCAATTTTGTTATTAGTGACAACGACAATAATGATAACGAGGACAGAAGGATTTATTGCAAAATTTCTAATAAAAATGTGAAGTGTGAAAGGGAATCGCATTTAGACCAACACATAAATACCGACACACATAAGAGGAAAATCGACGAAACTGGTAATTCATGTGAAACAGAGAAATACATAGCAACGAGTGTTAGTTTTTCTTTAGTAAAAAAAGAGGTTTATTGATATACACACGATGGGAATAATCGCGCACATGCCGTACATGAGAATACGCGGGAAGCAACGCTCTGTGAGCCTCGCTCGCTAAAAACGCAAGACGATCGGTTGAACAAAACAAGGTCTACGAATTTCAGAGAATAGCGCATAATTCGAACATTCTAACAACGAGCTCAAGAAAAAATGAATTTTATGCAGATTTGACGCGAGCAATGGTCGCTATTAACATGCCTTGGCGATCTTTAAACAATGATACGCGGAGGAATTTTTTAACAGAGTATATAGTAGATCATACTGTTCCGGATGAATCAACATTACGAAAGACTTATTTAGATAATTGCTATAATTTATGCATACAAGTAACATACTAATATATTACTTATTATACTACATTTTATTCAAATTTTTCGTGCATATTTTGCATATGCATGTTACATATTTATCGTGCATAAACTTCAGTCTACTAATCACAGTGATCTTCTTCATTTTTGCGTAAAACCGGTTTGTATGGTGGAAACAACTCTTCGAAATAAATCTTGTTTTTTACATTTCTGCTAATATTTCGGAAACAATAAGAGATATTGAAAAAATTTTCATTCTTAAAAGAATATTCTTGGAATTTCAAGAATATATATAATTAAAAGAGAATTTGCAAATTAAACTAGATTGCGTTATTGAGTTAAGTTTTCTTAAAAAAAACTAAAAACGACTGGACCAAATTAGAACAAAATCTAATCAGCTCTAAGTTAGATTGATACACATCGATTGTATCATCGATCATTTTGATCTCGCTATTAATTTTGTAGAAAACGTTAACGAAAAATTTGTTTACATACATACATACATACATCATACATACACATAAGCGCGCGTACGAACAATTTGTTAAAAATAGGCTAAAATGACTCCAATGACCTTGAAACATCGAGATCTGCTAAAAAATCGATTTTTCATTTTAGGGGCAAATACAACAACTTCCCTATAGCGTTATAATAATTCCATAAAACATAAAATATTTCTTAAAATATTAAATATTCGACGAACTCACCTCATTCGTTTCTATATTCAGAACGATTGGAAGAATTAATTTATGTAAGACAAATCAAGTAGTTCCTTTTTTTTAAAAAAAGAAGTGCAATTGCATTTTGCAAGTGTATGGATACACTAGGAAAAAGATTTTATATTATATAATATAGAGTATACCATTATTCTCATAAAAGGTCGTATAAAATTTTCTATATAAAAGGTAATGTTAGAATGTCACACAAAATGTTCTCTGACGACTTTCTCCATTTTCAGTTCAAATAGAGTTGTTGTCTGTCCCAATTACCACAATCACTCTGTACAACACACCATGCGATAAGAAGTTACATCGCGTTCTCTGCGTTCAGAAACATCTCTGCTTTTTTCTTAGTTTTGTTGTATGGAGAGGGAACTGAGATGAATTTCAGTTAATAAGGAATTGAAGGGCAACGTTGAGGAAGGAGACGGAAACCCGGCCAAGAAATGTTTCCTTTATTACAAAAACATTGTCTTCCTCGTAGTGAAACCAGAAAGAAAAGTAACTGTCTGGAAATTTTCGCTGTATTTTCAAGAGCAAATGGACCGTCTCTTACGTATATCTACCTTCTGTGACGGAAAACATTATCCGAACTCACTAACTTCTAGATTTCGAACGTCGATAAATTTTGAAGTACAACAGTAAATTCAAAATTATATCAGAGTACAGCCTTCATATTTTCGGCTGTTGTTGGTTGTTGCATGTAAACTTTATCTTTTATGTAACTTTTCTGGACGTGCAGTGAAGAAGAAAACTTCAAGCCATGGAAATGACCTTGAATGACATTTCAAGGTCAACATAATATAGGTCAATGATTTCGTCTTGAGATAAGCTATATGTCTATAGCGTGAAAAAAAACTACGTTTCCATTTAAAAAAACAAAGGTGACCTTCAAATCTCGGAGGCGCGTCCACCTAGAAAAAAACAGTGTACACCATTTTGAATGTCCCCCCTCTGATAGAGCATGTTTCATTTAAACATTTTTTTCGAAAGATGAATATTTTGTGAGATAATCGCGTGGGAAGATTAGAATGAGACACCCTGTATATGTTCAGTAAATAAAATTCGTTCATATAAAAGATGTGTTATTTTTTCCATTTTTTTAATTTTTTAATGATTATTGAAAGGGTTAAGCGACTTTCGATTAACTCTGCTTAATTCAATTTTAATTAAATAATTTTTAATTACATTAATTTAAAATATTTACTAATTAAGTTGATTGAATTAAATTTGTTTAAATTAATTGGTTAATTAAAAAAATTGTAATTGATTATTATTCAAATCCTATTGTGCACAAATTTTTCTGAAAATACATTAGTATATTCTTACAAGCAATGTTATTAAGTAT